TAGCAGAAAGAAACATTTACCTGTGGAATCTAATGAACATAAAAAAAAAACCCCAGCTGAAACCGGTTTGGCTCAGTGGATAGAGCGGGGGCCTGTGGACTGAAAGGTCCCAGGTTCGATTCCAGTCAAGGGCATGTACCTGGGTTGCGGGCATATCCCCAGTGGGAGATGTGCAGGAGGCAGCTGATCGATGTTTCTCTGTCATCGATATTTCTAACTCTCTATCTCTCTCCCTTCCTCTCTGTAAAAAATCAATAAAATATATTTAAAAAAAACTTTATAAAGATATGCCTCCATGCTCCGAGGGCTGTTTCCTGTCTTAAACCTCACCCTCATGGGAAACAGCTCAGGAAGGGCGCAGCCCTTGGCAAGGTGACCCAGGACTCAGTGTGTCCATGCTCTGAAGGCGGATTCCTGCCTGAAACCTCGCCCTCACGGGAAACAGCTGGGGGAGGGCACAGCTGTTGCCAAGGCAGCCCCTGCAGGACTGCTTCCTTCCGGTTGGTCAAGCCTCGGACATGATGCGTTACAACCAGGGTTTTTATATAAATAGATTGTTTTGTAATTTGATATATATGTTTATTTATATGTGTATTTACATCCAGCTTTTTTCCAGAAAGCATTTAACAATGTCATAGATGAATTGTAAAAACATAAAATTAAAATAAGTAGAGGAGATGATGGAATCCAAAAAGTAGAGCAGGAGATATTAGGTGAAGCCAAGAATGTGTTCTGTTGTTCATAAATGCATGGCATAAGGGCCTACACATCAAAAGTGGGACAAAAATGAAGATTTAAATTTTCTGGCAACCATTATAAAGAAACTGATAAATTTAATTATATGATTATTTGACAGTATCTTCAATGTAGAAACGGATCAAAGAGACTAGAGAAGTTTTTTCTCATGGCCTTTGTAAAATAGAATGCAGTATAGCATAATGAAATGTCTTATAGCATCTTCACATTAAATATAGCAGCATGCTGACAAATTCTCAATATAATTATGAAATTCAGGAAACACTCAGCTTTGTATGTGCAGGAACTTTGCTTTAACAAGAATATCATAAAAGACTTTTTAAAATCCCTAATACTAAAATACTGAATTGTGATATTTACACAGTTCATCAACCAAAGAAATATTAAGGTAGCAGCTTATTTTTTTCTTCCTAGCATGTGAACATGTTTTCTTGTCAGTATTGCATCATTTATGTAGGCATTGTGTGGGTGTGATATGTTATATGGTGAACCTATTTAGGAATTTGGCCAAGGCTATGAATCAGAAAAGTGTGGGAGCAATTCCAAGAAATTTTGGGATGCAGCCTTATTTAAGTTTTTATGCAAACGTTCATTGTTAAAATGCAGGAAAAGGAATTTTAGACTATACAAAGCTTTGAACCATTAAATATCTTTATAGTCCATTTAATAGGAAAAAACCCTACTATAGTCAGTTGTACAATTATACTTTAAAGAAGCACACATCATCATTATGAAATATGAATATAAAATTCTGTACTAAACACACCAACTATAATGCATTAGTTATCATTAATGTATGGATTGAAATGTAGTATAACAAATAATTTACATTAATTATTTTAAAACACAATCAAATTATGCACATGAATACATGTTTGAAACTTTCAGACTAGCCTTTACTTAACAGAGCATATGTATACAAAGCATACATTTTAACATCTGTGGATTAATACTTTTTTTTTGCTTTTATTGGTAGTAAAGCCTTCAACTATAGGATTCAAAAT